CAGTGCTCACAGTCACAGAAGAACAATTCTATCCATAGATGTGAGGTTTCAAAGCTCTCCATCTAAGGCAGCTGAGGGAAAAATATCTGTTTTTTCTTTTTGCTTGACTGACCAGCTTCTTAATTCCGTCACACCTTCAAAATGCCACCGTCTCCAATAACGTTATTCTTGGCTATACTCAGACAATACTCAGGCCCAAAGGTTTTGGATAATATTTAAAGATAAAATACTAACCAAGGATAGCAATCAGCACAGAAGAATATATTGTGCAATTCCCTCACACAGCATCAAAGGAGAACTTCTGTGGTCAGACTAGAAACCAATATATTTCTCTAGGAATTAATGTGGAAATGTTTCTTATTAAGCCAGGATCCTTGAGGATCCATAAAATACATACCTCAAACTCTGTGGATAAGAATAAAAGGATTGTGCTTCTACTGTTTCCGACTCCGCAGAATCTGTCATCTCTTTTTCTGAGAAGAATGTAATCACATCACAGGGATTGCTACAGGTTGAATTCTGATTTTGGAACACAGATACAAATCCAGAGAAAGTCTACTGACTACTGCTGTGAAAAGAAATTATCTCTTAAAGGTCTATTTAAAAATACTAGGATGCTAAGAAGCCAAGAAAGGATAGCAGTAAATTTGCTTAAATCAAATAACTGGAACAAATGGAGTTAAGAATAAGGAATAGGCAGAACACACACGTTAGAAAACATTCCTATGCTACGAAAAACAGTTGACACATTAGAAACTTAAAGCCTGTTGCAGTGATTGGCACATCCATGCAGCACAAACTGGAGTTAGAAGTTCAATATGTGGCACAGTTATTAACAGAATTACTGTACAGACACAAAAAGGTTGATACAAATGACGACCCAGTTTGCCAGCATTCTAAAAATCAAGATTTGTTCCTCTATTCCTATCTTCTCTTGCATGCACGATTCTGAGAATATCTTTTTCTTAATCTTAGACAGCAGAAATTTCCCTCCTCAGCAGTATCACTATCAGGAAGGTTTGCATAGCAGATATGTTTTCATGATTTTAGTACCCACATTCCTTTTCTATTAACTAAAAATGTGCTGAGTTACTTCAGAGACAAATAAAAAAAAAAAGCCAGGCTATGGTACAAAATACAAACTAAGCCTCAGATTGCCCAACTCAATGTTTGGACGTTGTGTTTCAGTAGAATTTGATGGAGCAGAGCTCCATGATCTACACAAAATTAGTGATTAAACACTCAATAACTACTTAAGAGAATGTTTTATGGTTAGAAGCATTATCCCAACAGAAGCATTAGAAAACACCCATCCATTATCATGATCTGACCATACACGGCTGAGTGGTGACAGGTCACAAAGTTAAAATAAAAGCACATTAATCCACATGCAGGAAAATACCAGAAGTTACCTTGAACGTAGCACTACTGTATAAAGAATTACCTTCCACTTGAATAGAAAAAACATGTTCAAACTGTAAAATGTAATGTTCACACTGTCGTTATTCAATTATATAAGAGATCCAATAGGATTACGGTAGAAGCAGCACATTCACTGCCAAGGCAGCATATTTATTCATACTTCCACAAGTATATGGCAGAATCACTCAGTGGTAAATTCTGCTTTCACAGGTATTAGAAATAAATTGAACATGTTATTTAATTAACAATATTTCATGATCCTCACAGTACTTCATAAGATAAACACTCATAAGAATGCTTCTTATGAAGCACTGCAAATGAGAATTTTTTTTATTAAAAGCAATTTTTCCTTGTTACAGTCAGAAAGATCAACACGGTGTAAAGACAATACAGGAGTGGAATGGCAAAAGGGACAAATGGGAAAGGAATGCTCACCTATCTCCAAAGATCTAGGCTCACAGGGAAAACTGCACAAGGAAGGGACCTCCAGCCAGAGACCCTTCCCTAGTGCCAATCAGCCCTTAAATGGGGTCTAAGAGAGGAGCAACCAGGCTGCACTTCTTCCCATCACACAGCTGAATTGCCTTCACCCGTGCTCCCAGGGCTGACTCGTCCTTTCCCCAGGTGATCAATCAGTGGTTCCAGCCATGACTCAACAGTTACCATACAGTAAGATAAAAACTATTATAGAAAGAATCTGAATTTTTCTATTCTATCACAAAGAAATATGATGATGCCATTTAAACATGCAATAAAAAAAATCATTTCTATTTCCCACCTGTGACCAAGACATATTTTTCGTCATGTATCTGCAGCTGCAGCTCTTATTCAAGAAAGACTTAACAGAAAAGCTATTATTACCTTGCCTTCTTTATCTCAAAAATGTTCATATCCTTGATGAGAAATTCAGATTAAATTTATGTTGTTCTACTAAAATATTTTTTATTTTTTTTTTTGCTAAATCAAAATGAAATAAAATAAAACAATTCCTTAGCCTGTTACTGCTAAGAACAGCAAAAAATATATATACACAATTAAAGACTCTTTTGACCTGTGTTACTGAATCTACCCTTTCTTTCTCCCAACCTCAACACAAACAGCCCAGGAACATTCAAACAAGACCAAAAGACTACATCCACCTTGAATACATGCTGCCACTTTCTACAGTCCTTAGCAAACCACTCTAACCTTTTGGAAACCTGCTTCACCATAGGTTTCATTTTGACCCTAGGTAAATCACTTGGTCCAAAATTCACTTTGTAACTGAATTCCTGATGAAATGAATGGAAGTCAGGTGTCTAAAATTACATCTTGTGAATGTGAACTTGAAACCCTCTGTCACATAAGAACTAGCAGACTGAAGGTTTTAGGGTCCCCCTGTCTGAATGAGTTACACAGAATGACTTGGGTCAGAAGGGACCCCAAGAATCACCAAGTTCCAACACCCCTGCCACAGACAGGGCCACCAACCTCCAGCTCTGGTAGCAGACCAGGTTCCAGATGCCAGTTACACAGCATTTCCAATCAAATGATTTAAAAAACTATTTGTCACTCAGAAAGGATAACAATAGTAGAAACACAGACTAGAAACTTCACAGTAACCTCTCCAACTCCACACCCCACAGATACAACAAGCACCTTCCCAGCTGCAAGATGGATGACGTTCTGAATTCATTACTAAGCTGCACCAATAGGCACTAATCCTCTATCAAAGATGCAGCTGCTTCTCCTGAGATCACAGAGTACCTTTAACAGATACAATGCATGAAGTGCCTCTCTTGCAATTGCAGTTTCAACCCAATTGCTGATTTGTTTTCAATGGCAATACCACACATGCATAAGTGAATATATAACAAAATGAAGTTTTTACTTACCGCTTTTCCCTCTAACAGAATATGTTACAGTTTTTGACATGTAATTTAAGATTTCTCTTCTTTCCTTCTTTTACCCTTATGTATTTATTTTCCAGAGGACCTGTTACAGAAAAAGGTCTCAAGAAACATTATAATCCTACAGAAAAGGATTAAAAATAGAAATTCAACCGTTTCAGAACATAATGGTTTAATGACTTTTCTTTCAGAATTCATGTCAGAGCTCTGAACACAGAAAGCATGGTAGCAATATGTAATGGTTCATGTTCGTACCTGGTTGCCAAGTACAAAATATTTATGCACTTTTAACCCAGCATTAATGTCAACAGTTTTTTCCACATAGGATGATCTCTGTGGAAATGAAAGAAAATTCATTTCAAAAAAATTGCCAACTTTTCTACAAGCCTTTTTTTTCCAACAGAGGTGCATAAATACAGTAAGCCACCAAATTAGAGACTTATTCCCTACAAAATCAGATACACTTTGTCATTAAGTTACAGCAACAGGAAAAGGCCAACCCTCTCCAATGATTAAAAATGTTACATGCTGTCACTTAGGTTTATTTTATGATAATTAAAAAATGTAACATATATGTTGGATATTATATATGTGTTTGTGTGTGTAACCTTGCTTGTATTTGTTATTGTCTCATGCCAATTAAAACAAACAAACAAACAGGCCCATATTCATAACCAGACAACATGGCAGGAGAAGTAATAAAGAATTGGTAAGAAATACCTAGAAGAAGCTAGTTACATAATCTCAAGCACCATGAATAGTTCACATTTAATTTGAGGACTATCAATTACCTCTGTAAAGCTTATGCTAAAAGTCATGTATGCTCAGAATTAGTTTTAGGAGTTTAGTGTCACCAGAAAGACACACTTTCACTATTTACTTAGGCATAGAATTGGCTTTCTAACATTTTTTGCTATATCTCCACAGTGCATTTAACCTACATTTATCCAAATATGAAAAGTTAGTACTTCATATTCTTGGGCAGCTTAACAGTGATTTCCCATAGCCTACGCCAAGTGACTTTCATGACCTAACAATACACTTGACAGGAACTTTTCACATCAGGAGGTACAAGACAGTAATCATTTATTTAATATTATGACCTGATCCAAGTTCTTTGAATACTAATATTATGCTAAAAAAATAAATAACCATTTTCCTGCTCTAAAGCTCCTTGAATAGTTTTGCTGATTGGTAAGACATTCAAATCTCAATATCAGAAGTTCATAACACCCATTAGTATCTATAGACACCAAGAACTCCATTGTCATGAGTTAGATGCAAATCATGGTAGCATTCCCTCTCCAAATGATTCCACACTGCACAGATGTCACAGAAACAGGCTGTGCACAACAAATTTATGTAAGCAGAAGAATCTCTTTCAAATATGAAAACCCAAAAACTACACTCTCCAGCAAACAGAACTGGCCTCTTGAATCAATCCGAGAAAGCTTAGCCAGACTATAAAAAGAACTGCCTAGCAGGGTGACACAACACTTGTTTCAATACAAATTTCAGTAGCTAGGTTGAAGTTTTCAAGTAAACGATGCAGTATCTGAAAACTTGATCACTGTAATAAAGGGAAAAAAAACAAACAGCCTATCTCTGACATCATGCCTTTAATTTCATACTTCAGCTGGCAAAACACTACTTCAGAGCCTTGCCTTGGCACTTAAGACTGCTATAAAAAGATTTATGTAGATACATATATATATATATATTTTTTTTTTTAATTAAGGGCCAGTAGATAATTAAGTATCAGTATCAGAAATCTGATTGGATGCTGCTGTGATTTCATGAACTCCAGTGGAGCCTCCTCCAAATTTTTTCACCGCTGCAAGTGAGCATAAAATATCAGAATCTCATTTTGCATTATTTTTAGCTAAAATGTATGTCAACGTGAAATCATTTGAACTACATTATCAGAACTAAAATGTTCCCTAGTGTAACTCCATTCACGTCAGTTACATCAGGAATGCATTTCACCACTATAATTTAAAATGCAAAATGCCCAAGTGATTACAAAATTATTTTTCTGATAGTTGTTGGTATCCAGTATCACTGTAAAAACTCGGGCAAGGAGCAATTGCATTCTGGAGCAGAAACAGCTCAAACACAGGGTTTCTCTGGCACAAATTTCCATCTAAGTGATCCTCAAGGGAAATTTTGGTTTCTTGTTAAGCACTTGGGATCTTTGGGTTTTAGCACGGTAGGGGTAGGACTTTGGCTTTTTCAAGCTGTGTTTCAAGAACGTAGACTAATGAACAGACGAATAATCAAACTAAAAGCCAGCCCAAGTGAAGCATTTGCTTCCATTCTGAAATGCACAGTCCTTTCTGTGATTCAGAATGGTCTGCCAAACTGATAGTACAATCTAATCTTAGGCAATGCTAGCTCTTATTTATAATGACAGTTACAAGTACAGAGGCTCATACACTGCAGGAGGCAGAGCAGGCTCCACTGGTATTAGGACCGGTCTCCACAGTACCGCAGTACGCAGTGCTGACACACCCAGAATGCTGCTCTGCTAAAACATCCTCCAGCAAGAATTTTCTTTCAGAGATTAAGGTATTGCTGTGATCATAGCATAATGCAGGCCACACCATGCTTGTTTTAAATTACAAGATTTTGTACTGGTAGCACAATACCTGCACGATTTGCTGGAGAAGCTGGGTAACTACTCACGCAGATACCTCATGCTGAGCTCCACCTCCTCTGAGTGAACATATTCTAGGAGTTATTCAAAAAGCTTTCTTTCTTATTTCTATTAGACATAAACCCTCTTATTAACCATCTTTCAGCCCATCAATACTGCAAATACATACTAATTATTTTTCTAAGTTCTTTATTTGCCTAGTTATTATTTCCTTTATTTCTGCATTCTTGCTATGGTCCTTCTCTGGTTGCTGGTACTACACAGAAATACTAGCAAACTAGCATAATTGAACCCTTATGTTCTTTACCTTATTAACAGTTAAAGCTGTTGAAGAAACACTCTCACTCATAGATGTTTGCTGGACTTCACAGAGCGCTCACCCTTGTCGCTGATGTTGCCCTCATTGGAAAAAAAGCATTTAGTTCATTTACCCAGGTGAGCCATGAAATAAATGCAATATTTAATACTGACAAACACCTGTACATGAAACGACTGAAGTGTTTGATCCAGAACATGATTGAAATTCATACCATCGTATTAAAAAGAGGCCTTGTTTAAAGCCTCACATCAGAAATAGAGTGAAGCCTTCTCTACAATTTAAAATTATGAATTGGACGTTCACATCCAAGTTTTAAATCAGGGCCCAGTACAATGCAGTCTTTTCTGAGCCTTTTTTTTTTTTTTTTTTTTTTTTCTATGATTTCTGCAGTACAATAGGAGACTAGCAGATAAAGTTTTCCAAAATATGATTCACAGAAAATCCATGAAGGCCAACAATCAATCAGTAAGTAAAATCCTTTGGCTATGGCTCTGTTCTGTATCACTGGATGCTGCACACAGCAAACAATGCCTATCTGGTAGATGATGCACACCATCACAGCTACCCAATTTGGACATGTTTTATTTTTGCTTTTCAGCACCAGAACCGTAAGTCACTAACTGGTTCTCTCCAGCAAACTCCCTCCTCAGCTTTAAAGGAATATCAGAAAACTACTGCAACTCAATAGTGTTTGTAAGCACTCTTTTCTCTCACAATGTCCTTAAAGTGCATATGCCAAGCTGGTTCAAGTTCTATAATTGGGAATGTTCCACAGTGCCTTCCCAAAAACAGCTCCAATTACCACCCTAGGTAATCATGATGCTGAAAAAAACACCTGTTCTAATTCGATTATTTGTGTTAAATGCAGGAATATCTTACCTATTTAATTCTGGTGTCTGGAATGTGCTGTAAGTCAGGTAATCTTTACCTACCTTAATCTCCTAGAAGGGGCAGTGGAAATTTTTGACACAAAGATACAGCTGGTCTAAGAATCAGTGAAAAGAAATCATGGAATGCTTTCCCAAGGACTACATTGGACCCAACACAATCATTTTGAATCCCAAAATGCCTGTTTTGGATTCTAAATTTTGCTTCCAACTTGGAAGCTGGAATTAAGGGAAAAAATGTAGCACCAATAACAGGTTAATTGTTAGTAATTTTGAATTGTTAGTTCTGTAACAACCGAGTATCTTATTACTTTTACCTCTTCTCCCATACACTGAATTACTTCGATACTGACAAAGTGCATGTATTAAACATCAACTCTCAATGTTAAATTAACCTGGAAAAAATACATACATTAAGTTCATATTAGTTGAGAGTATCACTAGAAAACACTAATTTCAAATAATTTTGATTATAAAATTTTACTTCACAATCCTTTTCCAGATCACAGATATAGTCATAATTAAAAGAGTACGGAATTGATGTAATGTAAGCTGTTTTGCCATCAGCATCACATAAAGGAAAAACAGAATGAAACAAAACAAAACAAAAAAAGGCAATAAAATATGATGCAGAATTCACTCTTCCAATGATTGTCATTGAACTATTACATTAGTAAACATTCACAGTATGAAGTCTCTTTCAATATAACTCCAGCATATAAAGTAGTGCAAAAAAGCATTCCAGTCATTTTGCCTTTGCAGTCAGACCAGGCTAAACAATTCTCTTATTTCATTACTTTCATTATTAGACAACAAATGCTGCAACGCCTCCAAAGAGAGTTATAAAAATAAATCATTTCTGGAGGTTCAGCAGCCTTCTCAAAGTAAATTTCCAGTTAAAAACAAGCATTATAGATTCCAAGAAAAAAAAAAAAATTAGATCTATCTTCTGTAGAATACCTTTATACAATAAATTTACCATTTGAAAAACAAGACTATGGTATCCAATGATTTATGGTAGCTGCTATTAAAGCACTGATAAATAGATAAATGACTTCCAAAGTTCATTGCTTCTTACATAGTAAATACCTCTGAATGCCAACTTTTACCACAGAGCTGTTATTAGTGATGTCGACAGTTCATGCACTCACTTTAAAACTGACTTGGTTTTAATAAATTTTTCAGCCTCATGTGCAAAACACTTGCATTCTAAAAAAAAAAAAACACAGTCTGAAGTTATATCAGGTCTAGCAACCCCTTCCTCAAGTTCTACCACTTACTTGATATGTTATACAAGTTTAACAATGTTTTTTTATTTGTATTTAACCATTAAATGGCATACTACTGTATGCTGCGGACTCATTTGCATATTTCATTATTTCCACTGCACTCTTTAATGCATAAATATATTTGGAAACATAAAATAAATATATTTGGAAATTACACATCAGTTTCCACAGAATTTGAATTTACACAGTTTTTTTTCTCTGACTCACTGCTATTCCCCGTGTCCTGACTTTTTTTCTCCTTTACACAAAGAGATTCTTTAACTCCTTCTTCCATCTCCAAATACTCTGATTTATCCTCTGTGGATGAAGATGATGAGCTTCTAAATTTCTTCAGTAAATTCGTTGGGAGGTAAGGGCAACTGACTGCATTTTGCATCAGCTGCGTTTGTTCTTCATTCTCAGTCTCTCTGTGGTAGAAATAGTTAAAATTGGAGACAATCACTGGCACTGGTAAAGCAATGGTTAACACTCCCGCGATGGCACACAGGGACCCAACTATTTTCCCACCCACAGTTATGGGTTTCATGTCCCCATAACCAACAGTAGTCATGGTCACCACGGCCCACCAAAAAGCATCTGGGATGCTCTGAAAATGGGTGGCAGGCTCATCAGCTTCTGCGAAGTAAACAGCACTGGAAAACAAAATTACTCCAATAAAAAGGAAAAAAATGAGGAGGCCGAGTTCCCTCATGCTTGCTCTGAGTGTGTGACCCAGGATCTGCAAACCCTTGGAGTGCCTGGAAAGCTTGAAGATGCGAAACACTCTGACCAGACGGATGATCCTCAGGATGGCAAAAGACATGGCCTGTTGACCATTACTGCCTTGCTCCTGCGCCAAGTCAGTGCCCAGAGTAATGAAATAAGGCAAGATGGAGACAATGTCTATGATGTTCATGATGTTCTTGAGGAAATGTGCTTTGCTTGGACATGCAAAGCAGCGCACTGTAAACTCAAAGGAGAACCAAATGATGCATACTGTCTCTACAATGAAAAAAGGGTCATTGAAGATGGTGTGCTCCCCAGCGTCCAAGTGAAGCGACTCATTGGAAAGACCCTTCCCTGAGCTCAGGGACATTATGAATTCTTTGTCATCTCTGAACTCCGGCAAAGTCTCCAGACAAAAGATGACGATGGAGATCAAGATGACTAAGACAGAGACAATGGCAATGCCCCTGGCTGGACTGGAGCTCTCTGGGTACTCAAACAGTAGCCAGACCTGCCTCTTAAACTCATTCTCCGGCAAAACTTTGTCCTCTTCCTCTTTGACAAACCCTTCATCTTCCCTAAACTTGAGCATGGCTTCCTCCCCAAGTTGGTAGAATTTCACCTCCTCACTGAAGATGTCAAAGGGTACATTGACTGGCCTCTTCAGCCGACCACCACTCTGGTAGTAGTACAGTATGGCATCAAAGCTGGGACGGTTCCTATCAAAGAAGTATTCGTTTCTGAGAGGGTCAAAGTATCTGCCTCGCTTTGCCGGATCACCCAACAATGTCTCCGGGAACTGAGCCAATGTCTTCAGTTGTGTCTCAAACCGCAGTCCTGACACATTGATCACCACACGCTCACAACACTCGTACTCACTGTAGCGAACAGAGCTGTAACCCCCGGGGCCTCCACCATCATCAGGTGGCTGGTCTGAGTATGAAAACTCATCCTCCCCATAGTCGGCACTGTAGTAGAGTTTTCCTTCTTCCTCATCGTCTTCATCCTCATCTTCATCCTCCTCTTCCTCCTCACTCACGTCCTTCAGTATTCTCTCTTCAGAACCACTGAGAGGAAGCAGCTCAGAACAGGGGAAGGAGGCTCCACACTCCCTGCTTCCCAAGTGGTGGCTCCTCTTTTTCCCTTTCTTCCATCTCTTACCACTGTGGCGGTTGGGCAGGCTGCTGCGTGATGCGTTCCCACCGTGTGAGGAAGAAGCACCTCGACTCTGTTCCTGGTGATAGTGGTGATACGGTCCACATCCACCTGTTGCCCCCCCTTCTACTGCTGCAGTTGCTGCTGCTACAGCTGCAGCTGCTGCAGCTCTTGATTGTGCCAGCCTCTCTCTCTCTCTGGCCCGAGCTTGGACCGCATATCCATAGGGCATATGGCTGTTGCACCCAGAGCTATCTGCACTCACCATTGCAACCTCCATTTTGCAACAGCTTTTTTGTCGTTTAGTGCAAAAGCTTTTGTTTTATTTACGGTGCAACCTTAACTTTCACCATAGAAAGTATAAAGCCATTTGCATTGGAGGACAGTGCACTGGACACAGAGCGGGGCAACATAGTTGCAACGCTGAATCTACCTTTTGGGTAACCACAGATCTGCATTTTCTTACTGTCTAAAACATTTTAGGGGAAAAAAAAAAAAAAAAGAAAAAAAAAAACCCTATTGTTTTGTTAATAAGAAAAGATGAAACTCTCAAACTAGACCAAGGAACAGCAGAGGCTTTATTCTTTCATCCACTAAGCCCTTTTATTTTCATTTATTTCCCATATCTACCACTGATCTGATCAGATTCATGACTACATCCATGAAGACAAAAACATGCAAAACAAAGGGTACCTGCTCTCCATAAATGATTTTAGTTCATCATTGCGAGCAAATGCAAATAGTCTCTTTCCTCATAATTTGTTCCTGGTAATGCTTTGGCCTAGCAATCTTATTATTGTTTAATACCATTGTTTGGGGAGTTGAAACTAATTCCAGCCATCACTCTCTTTACACAGTGAGGAGGTCTTTGCAAATCCTTTCTTCAGCCTGTCAACAGTGTTTCAAACCTGGGAGCAGCACCCAGGGCGTCAGCAGCAGTGGTAAGAGGAGGAGGAGGAGATGAAGACTGAGAAATTGGTTCTGAGGTCCCCATAGGACATAAGGGAGTGGATGGGTCACCCTTTGGTTATGGTCATGCAGAAGAAGCACTTAACCTGAGGCACATGCACAAACACACAAAAATAAACAAAACAAAAAGGAAAAAAGATTGGATTGTTTTCCTAAAAGGTCACACTGATCAAATGAAACTGTGTCATCTATTACCACGGTATTCTAAGCTTCCCCTTCCCACACTATTCACACTTCTACATTACACACACACCCACATCACATGCACAGAGAATGTGAACGACTCTGTTCATAAGGATGTGGGTGGGTATGTCATATATATATAGACAGAGATACAAAATCCCCACCCGTACAAGCACTTGCATCCATACACAAACACATGCATGCTTGTGAAACACCAACACATATAAACACCAATAAAACACTGCAACACCCGATGCATCCAGACCTTTGAATGCATACGTAATAGGCACACCTACATATAGCTACATGAAGTATTATAAGAAATGCATCTATGCAAAGAGCTTTTCATATTATCTCTAAAAACACCAGATTTAAGAAAGCTGCGTTTCAGTTGGATTTTCAACTGTAACAAACATCTTACTGAATTTAATTGGGAAACGGGCAGGTACAGTGCTCACTCAAGTGGAAGCACCATGATACGGCGTGTCAAACTACTGCAGGTGCACTGAAGCAACATCTACATGCAAACACATGCAAGAATTCACATATGCACGCCCCTTTGAAACAGAAGCCTCATCTACAGCTGTATCTATTAATATACAAGAGAAGGTGAATGCAGACAAATAATGACTGCTATTTTTAAAATCATACCTACACGACATGCAAAAAGGGTCTTAAGGATTGCTGTTATACTTACTGTTCATAGGCAGAGAAATAGCAGTGCTGCTCTTGCCAGCGTAAGGATCTGGTGACAGCAGTCCTGAGCAGGGGGCTGCGCCAATTGACCGACGCCTGCAGGTGGGTAGGTCAGTCGGCACCACAGGTTGACGAGTTATTTTTCTCCCTGCCTTCCCTGTGCAACAAGAGCGCCAAGAACGAGCCAAGGAGGCAGCTGAAGCTGGGGGCACTCTGCACAACCGCAGCTTCTCACCCAGGCGTTTGCAAAAAGGCAATAAGCAACAGCCTTGTTCCAAAAGGAAAAAAAAAAAAAGAAAAAAAAAGGGGGAGGTGAGTGTGTTCGTGTGTGTGTGAGAGAAAAGGAATGAATGGGTGAGTGTGATCACTAGGCTTCCCGAGCCCAGCTCCTGCTGCAGATTTGTAAATCAACGTTAAGTAATCCGTGTACCAAGCCTATTTCCACTGATGGGAGGACGAGTGTTGCTTCTTGCTGTTTCTCCCCGTCACATCCAAACGGCAGCAGCTCAGCCAGCAGCTGCCAGCATCGTTCACTTGTTGTGCGGTTTTTTTGGTAACGCTTACAAAAAGCATAAAAATAACAATTAAAAAAAAAATAATAACAATAAAAGGAAAACCACCCGAGGAAAAAGCAGCTCTCTGCTATCACGCTCCCACCGCCCGATTTGCAACGCGGCAGCCAGCAACCGCGGAAGCCGCGCGGCCGTTCGCAGCGCTGCCGCCGGCTCGAGCCCTGTTGCTCCGCGGAGGCGCCGCCCGCCGAGCCTGCGCGCCGCCGGGGGCAGCCGTGGGGCCGCGGCCGTTCCATCGCACCGCTCCCGGCCCGCCGTCGGCCCCTCGCGGCCGCGCCCCGCACTGCGCCCGGCCCGGCGGCGGCTCTGGATCGGGGCGTTAATGACGGCGATTCGTGTTCCAGCGCTGAATAACGCAGCGAAAATCTCCGTGCCCAAAGAGATGCTCCTGGCTTTGGTTTCCGGTTATTGTTGTTTCTTTCTTTTTTTTTTATTATTATTATTATTATTTTTTCCTTTGGGCTTTTGTGGCTTTTGTTCTCTGTTAGTTTTGTTCGTTTGTCAAGGTGGCTGTGAAGTGCAAAACCAAACGCAAATTGAGCATCTGAGAAAGATCGAGAAGCTGACCACATCTCTGTCCTCCTAATGCGTTCACCCCAAGCAAATCAGAGAGCGATTCCCACTGCCCAGCAGCCACAGGCTCTTGCCAGCTAAGCCAATTTAACATTTACCCCTAATCCTATACGTACACAGAGGAGGAGGTCCTACTTCATGAATAGGACAACATTGTGTATTTGTAGACGAGACCTAAAATAGCATTTTGACACTGCTGCTAAAGGTGCCAGATCTTTGCTCCACTACCCCCAGCCTGTAACAACTGCACTGTACAGACCAGACACTCCTTTCCTGCCTGGAAAATCTACATTGGGACTGATACCATGAAAATGCAGCTTGGCTGTATCTGGTGGTACAGCTACAATTGCACCGTCACAATAAAACATGCAGGCACTTCTCCTCAGTGCAAGGTAAACCAAAGAAGGACTTGAGACTTGCAGTAAGAAGGAAAGAAGAGCAGCACTCACTCCAGCCGCTCGCCTTAAGGTGTTGGCACGTGGAGACAAACTGAATGGTACAGCAAGTGGGTTAGGCACAACTGTCATTGCCCAGGTCCGCTCCTTTCCCATTGTCCAAACAAACCTACAGGTTGTTCCCCTTCAGATTCCTCGTGGCAGAAGACAGATTATATTACCTCTGTCTCTACTGCCTTCATCAATTAGTGCTCGTACCCTTCAGCCCATTCATTTCAATAGGGAGACATACAGCTGCAAAAGGGAGACTTAAGGATCAACCAAATAAATATTAAAGGACTTAATGGCCTGTGAAATGCAGAAATGACATCGAAAAATCAGAATGCTTCAAATTCTATAGGTGGTATATAATGAAAGATATTACGTGTTCCTAATGTCAGGCCACATTCTACTAAGACACAAACTGGCATCATCATAAGACCAGTCCAAAAATGTGATGCTATGGTGTGCTATTTAAAGACATTCCAAAATTTACTTCCAATACCAGAAAACAGATTTCTCTGCAATTTGACAAGAGTATATCAAAGGCAGAGATCAAGCCCCTGTCATCATTTAGGCACAAGGACACATACAATGCCATAAAAGGAGAGAGATCGTAATATGATTTCTTATCATTAGAAACATCTCGAGACCTTCCTACTTCAGTCACATTTTAATGCCATGTACAATCATTTGGCAAAATTCAGTCACTGGATTCCCTCAAAAATGTTACGTTGCTTTGTATTGGTAGGACCTGGACATATTTTTCTATTCCTTTTTTAAGTCTAGCTTTTTGAAATCTACCTTTTTACCTTCCTTGCAGTTTCAGATGCATTTCCGACACATTCCCCAAGGCTCAATCCTACAGCAGGTTCTGTTCAACATTTTTATGAATGACCCGAATGCAAGAATTCAATGCAACTTCAGCAAGCTTGCTGATGATACTCAACTGGAAAGAACCATTGACTGCCTGAAGGGACAAGGGGCCTTGCAGGGGGATCAAAAATAGCACCGATAACAGGACAAGCAGAAGACCTTTCTCAAATCTTTTTAAAGTCCATTTTAATTGCTAGGGATTACATAACTACACGCAATTCAATCTAATTCACAAGTTTCATCTGTTCCAAAAGCAAAAAAAAAAAAAGTATTTACAGATGAATACTGTTACTCTCTTCATTCAGCTTTATATTTTCATAGTATTCAAAGAGAAATCTTATTTAAAAGATACTACATTCCCTCTGCTTCTTTATATTCATAAGGGATACTATTATTGGTAGAACAAAGAGAGAATATGTACATGTCCTTATTTCCAGTAGTGCTGTACTAAGAACATTATAGCATACAAAAGGATCTGTAAGGTATGCTACTGTACAGATTTGTTCTGTTTTACAAGCATGTGGAGAACAAATATGCATCACTGTTGCTTATCTATGCACGCAGTAGCAGAACAAAAACCCACAATAATTTAATAGCACGTTCATGCAAAGGGAACATGAGATTTAAAAGGCTTATGGTGCTATGTCCAATATTAATTCATGCTATCTCCCAATCGCTTCAATTCACACTGGCAGTCTGGCCTCAGTCCAACATTCATCTTCCTGCTGTAATCAAGAGTTCTGTGCAGAGAATAAGACTGCACTACAGCTCTGTACTTACTGCACTTCTAGACCATGAATTATTTTATTTCCAGTTTTGTTTGCTTTTTTTTTTTTTTTTTTAACTTTTCTGCTTCTCCCTATACTTGCCTCACTCTTATTTCTGTCAGCCTCTCAAGGAACCTCAGTGAACTTCCCCTAAGATCAGGAGCTCCCTTCAAATCAAGTAAAGCGTTGCAGGAGTAAGCACTTGAAAACAAACAAAACAAAACAACCCCCCACCACACACACACACACACACACACAAACCCACAAATAGAATAACTACGGTTACTGCATGATTTCATGTGCTCAGAATATGTCTTTCTCCCTTCCTCCCTCAGCTGCTTACAGCGCTGAGTGCTGAAGACCCTTAGGTACCAAAGTAAGCACAAATTCTTGTCTGTGCAGCCAAGTCTTCCCTCCCAGTGTTTATACTGCTTTGGAGAGTTCTTGTTTTATTCCTGATTCACTAACCTGGATCAGGAAGCCATACTTGTCAGAGGACCCAGCTCTACTACTGTTCTTTCAACTATGACTGGCAGTACATAATGAAGTACTTAGAATAAAATCCAGCCCATCCTCAGGTCAGCTCTTATTCACAAGGTATACGAACAGCACATCTGTTCATTACTCACAATGCAACGTGCTCATCAACAAAAGTTGACACTCCACAGAACAATAGGTTCTTTTATACTCCCTGAAGAAAGCATGCAAAACCACTGTCATTTACCACTGAGTAAATGAGATGAACTAGCAGTAAAAACACCGATGATGTGTATATTTGGAGAATAATCTCTTGCATCAGGGCACGGAACTATTTAGAAACCAGGATAAAAATATCATGTGTGGTTTATTTTTAGACTTGAAAATTGCTCAGTTCATTCTGTGCAGACAGGGACTCGTATCAGAGAGATTCTTCAAATCAACAGTATGAGAAAAGAAAAGAGAGAGAAAGAAAAGGAAATGGAGAGGAAGCTTCCAAGTCAGGAACTGCTTGAGAATGGAGAGACCAGCCACATCACCGTCCATGCTGCCATCCCCTTTCCCAGTGTAACTAAGAGAGTTCACCCGCTTCACTTCTTTTCCTAAAAAATTTATTCACAATGTAATAATTTTGGAGCAGACAATGCACCTCCTAACAGATATGTTAAGCAGTACTCAGCAGTATAGATCTCAACTTTGGATAATGTTATTGTAATTAATTCATGAAGAAAATGAATTAAATTCATACCCTTACTTAAATGACTGCATTGCTGGATTCGGTTCATTTTTGTGTTCAAGAATCAGAGCACTGTTCTCAATATGTAATTTTCAAACTATACTAGCAGTAAATGCAATAATTGTAAATCCTGGAAATATTGGTTGGTAAACTCTGCCTTACATGTGCAGGGCAGGTAACATTTGGAGGGCATGGCAAGTGAATACCTCAATAGGATTTTATCAGGAATACTCCTGAATACTAAGTGACAGGCTAACAATCAATGTAGCTTTGCACTTTGAAGTTAACAATGACTTGCAGAAGAACCAGAAAGGAAAATCTGTGGAACAGCTCAAAAATACTACTGTATACTGTTCAGTAAGCCTGGATGCCCAAGCATCTCATTCTCTAGAAACAAGCGGTCAATAAATCAAAGCATTTTAGATATTCAAAATTGGTATGAAACACATTGCATATTTCTTGCAATTTTTAGGTGAAAAGAAAGTATTTCTGTGAACTCAGTGTTTTTAGCAGATAGAAGTTGCCCAAGTTCTTAATAACAAATATATTTTTCTAACTCTCGCTTATGAAATCAGTGTGAATGAAAAGCACGTGCATGAAAGAAATGTAGGATCAAACCAAAAACAGCAGATATACCAACTGCAACTGCTCAAACCTTACTAGAAGACTCAATTTGCTAAGTTGAGCAGTTATATTAGATGGGAAACTAGCTAGACTAGAATGATTTGTACTGGAGAGTCTAACACAACTCTACAGGAGATCCATGTTTCACAAGTAACTGCCTCCATTTGCCATAATTTGATCGCAATCAAATACAGCTTCAGAATGAACCTCTGGAACAAAATCAGCACAGTCTGCACTGGCATCATCCTGTCACCCTGCTGATGAAGACAGAAGCACCAGGATAGATAGTTTGGTGGCAGCAGGTGAGATTGGTGAAGAGAAAAAAAGCAAACTAACTCCATACCCTTCCCAGTAAGTAGGTTAGCAAAAGGAACACAGCCATTTGCTTTTGACCTTTTGGGGTGTTTGTGTGGGAAAGCTTCTTTTCCATCGTTGCACTAACAGATCATTTTTCTCCTCCCACAATTAGGATACAGAAAGTTGCTCCATGTTTTAAGAGACTGATTCTGAAAGATCTGAGTACATGACATATCAGAACTATACCAGAGTATGTATGTTATAGGCAAAATGTTTAATTCCTGTTCTTTCCCACAACCTTATAAACACAAATACTGAAAGAATGCCTTATTTTTTCTAACCAATATTTTTCTAACCATTCTGGACAGACTTACATATCAGAGAAAACATGATA